CTGCGTGCGACCGTTCCCCTCGCAACGCTGACTTTTTCGACGGCGGCGAGCGACGCCAAGTACCGCGCCGCGTACTTCGAGCGCTTCGCCGACGTCTGCGGCGCTGCGGGCCCGTGTGGCACCACGGCGATTTCGTCCGCGTGCCGACCCGTCGACCGGCAGCCTCGTCATGCTGGGGCGGTCGGACGGCGTGCTCAAGCCGGCGGGCGTGCGATTCGGCAGCGCCGAGATTTACAACGTCCTCACGCGCTTCTTCGCCGGCGAGGTCGCCGATGCCGTCTGCGTCGGCCGCCGGCGCGAGACGGACACGGACGAGACGGTGTGTCTCTTTGTCGTCATGGAGGAGGGCAAGGTGTTTGACGAGGACGTCAGGGCCCGCATCCAGAGGACAGTGCGGACGGAGCTGAGCCCTCGCCATGTGCCGGGCGTGGTGGAGGAGTGCGGTGGCGGGGTTCCCAAGACGGGCAACGGGAAGAAGTGAGTGCCTGCTGCGTTGCCCCCCTTGCTTGCCTCTCCTCTCCCTTTTTTGTCTCCTTTCTTCTCTCTTTGATTTCGCGAAGACAAATGCTGACAATCACAGAATCGAAGTGGCAGTCAAACAGATCCTCTCGGGCATGGCTGTCCAGACCAACGCCAGCGTTGCCAACCCCGAGGCTCTCGACTGGTTCAGGGCGTGGGCGGCGAGCCACTAACGCTTAGAAAGGGTAGACAGAGCGCGATGACAATAGAAGAGCCCCCACAATTGGAGGCAGGCGTGGAGAATGAATACATGGGTGGCGCTGTCCCGGGTTGTCGGCATGACGAGACGAGACGGCAGCATAGAATGGGGTACGATAGACAAAACACGGCACGGGGGATCTTCACATCGTGTCAAGACGTCAAGACGCAGTTGACGCAAGGGCTTTCTCCTGGGTCCTCTCCTCGCTGCTTCGGTTCGGGCGTCTCTGCTTCAGGGATCTTGGTTTCAGTGGAGAGAGGCGATGAAGGAGAAGAAGCAAAAGGCATCCTTGATTTTTTTTTTGCTTAAAAAAAAGTTGTTGGAGCGAGCGGTGAGGGCGCACCTTCAGAAGCCGTCGACAGAGACATGCAGATGGGTTGGTCACCGAATGCTGTGCTCTGCTGTGCTCTGCTGTGCTCTGCTGTGTCGCTGGATGCTGGATGCTGGATGCTGGTCAGCAGCTGGTCGTCGGCCTCTCTGGCATGTGCTGTGGAGAAGCATGTCAGGGATTTGTGCGGTGAAAGGGGCGATCGCGATGATGTCTGCTTGAATTCAAATCCATCCATCCTTGGGCGCATCGTACCGTGTGCTGTGAGGTACTTGCATGCACGGCGGCCACGGGGAGCCGGTCGGCGTACACCGGGCGGCAGCTGTGCAGATCTGGCTCGACTGGTGTTTGTCCGTCTCTTGCTGCCGTTGCCAGGTATCTACCTAGGTACAGTATCCTCTGCACGGTCGAGACGGTAGGTGCCTGGCTTACTGAGTAGGTACGTGTACCCAAGGT